GGGGGGGGGGGGGGGGGGGGGGGGGGGAGGGGCGTAAAGATCAAGCTATAGTGTCGTATCAGGAGCCGATTGAACCAGTTTTTATGTTAAATTATACGATGGGACATTAAAGTTCATAATTTGTAGAGGTCAACTTGAGGCCGAGCGCCCAACCCCCCCCCTCCGATATCTATATATATCAGACCATAAACATCTTCTTTTTGAAAAAAAAAACGGTGGTTGGGGAGGGGGGGAGTGAGATTACATAAATAAGAACAAAGTCATGCAAGAAAAAAAAGGTTAAAATAAAAGCACGAGATGGAAAACTTGTTAAATTTCTTTTATTGCGTGTCCCAACGTTAGATTTTTGTTTAGTTTTATGTGTTTACCTGTGTTTGTTTCTTTTTAGATTCATCTTTATACTTTTAGCATTTAATGTCAAACACTAATCAATTATTAAGATTTTCAGATCATCTCATGTGTAGGCGTTGAAAAATAAGTCAAATAACAACGTCTTCAATAGAGCTGATGTCTATAGCCCCAGGAAGGTGCACGATCTCTAGCAAGGGCATATAACTTGTCATAAGAATGCTTTTTAGAGGGAAAAACAGTGTCATTGCCCTTGGGTAATTAGGGGAGAGACTGCAATCATGTTAGCACAAGAGGAAATTAATAAAACAAAATTAAACCTGGAAAAAAATGGAACGCAACAAAACAACGAACGAGTCGGCAGGAAGCCTTCGTCAGCCAACAAACAAAAAACAGAATAAAACTTTAAAAAAAGCACTTAGCTGAGCAGTAGTATCCAAGAGGGCAGCAAATGAATTGTTTTACTCATTTCCTACTGTCATTGCCCTTACATGTTTTTTTTTCTCGGTGTTTCTGAAACCTTTGAGCATGAAAAACAGGCAGAAATGATCACACATGTGCTCAATGAATGGTTAGTTCTTTTCTTTAGGTGGTGGTGTTGGTCTTTTTTTTAATTTAATACTTTTATAATGAATAGAACGATAACAGCGGGATAGCCGACCAATTACGGTCAGCGGACAGACATTTTAAATAACCTAGTCTTACAATAATGTGTATTCCACTAATACATGGGTAATTGTGGAACAAGTGCTCCCCTCAGGATTGCCAACTCAGTCAAATGAACATACGGAAACATGTTTTGTCCAATTCTCAGAACTTGTGAAACTTTTAGAACGGCATTTCCCAACTTTTTTTTTTTTTTTAATCGTGACCTGGTTATGTTTTATACTTTCCTTCATGCCCCATAAAATTGTGTAGCTTATTCTAGTCTATCAGGAGATTTAAATATCCATACAGTTTTCATATATGTCAATCAAAAGCATTTAGTCTTTTTTTTAAAATGACAATGAATTCTATAACAAAACTTGTAAATAATTTAAGAAAGTGAATCTGTAAACATTTGCCCAATAATATACTATATATGTGCTATATATATATATATGTATATATATATATATATATATATATAAATAGATAGATATATATACAGATAGATATATATATAGATATAGTTATACGACAAGGCTTAGCAAAAATCTGATTAGGAAACTTTCAAGCCAAATTCAGAATTAATATACATGAGGGGGAAATTCCAGAAAGAAAGGGACACAAATAGATATAAAATACTGCTATTGTGATTTTTTAAAAATGTATATTATATATCTATAACAGTTTTTATATTACTTGGTATATTCCCCGTCAACCATCCTGTAACACGATATTCACCCCCACTGCCCTTTGTATGTAAATTCAAAAAAAAAACATTTTATACTTTTTCTAACGATGAACGTTGAATGTTTTCAGTCCGGTATAGATTTCACTTTTCACCTAAAGAATTATTTAATGAGCCGGTCTTTTTCTCTACCCGGTATCGGGTGTCGTCCCGGCGATGTGACAAACGCTGGTTTAGAAGAAGGTCCCATCTGACTATTGTAAGTAAATGGTCGACTAATAGTGTTGACTTCATGATGGGGGTCACCAGAACTGACCCGGAATTTAAGAACCGCTTCTACGCTTAAATACGAGGGGGCCACTGAGGGCCGACGTGCTGTTGACATTATTTAGTCTCGCTGTGGCCTGAAGGCATGTCGCTGTTGTTGTGACTGTTACGCCTCGTGTCAAAGGTCACGTTCTTAATGATAATGAGGCTGACAGAGACAAACAGTGAGGTCATGTCAACTGTTGCTCCCTGGTTTGGTCGCGTGACTTTACCATGATTGAAAAGAATAGATTATGTACGTTTATGGCTCGGCCGTTCAAAAGCCTTTTTCTACCATATCCTTCTTATTACCTAGTATATCACAACCATAGTTGGTTACCCACTTGTAGATTTTTATAAAAATTTTAATGTTCTTTAGAAAATCTCCCCCCCCCCACCCTCCTTTTTTCCCAACCCCGGGGCATTCCCCATAACACACATATTTGTTATTTTAAAACTTTATTTGTTATCGAAATGTGTGAGAATATTTATTGTAATTCTTCAAAAAAAATTTCAACTCACTCATAGCTGTCGTTGTTTCCGTTTCGGCGAGATATAAAGTACAAGTATCACAAAAAATAAATACTAGGTATATGTGATGTATTGTGTTCAATAGGCGCGCAAAATAAAATGCCTAGAAATTAGTATCGATTGGGCTTTTTATAAAGTGCGTTACTTGAATGCTTGTTTGGTAAAGGATCTTTTAGTAGATATAAAATTCACGCATCGCAGCTTCCATAGTTTAGCGGGTTATTTGTAGTGGTCAAATAAAATAGATTCAACCAAGCGCGATCAGGCATTGGTAAACAGATTTTGAAGGCGACTGTGCAGTGCTTCTTCTAAGAATGCGAATTCGATATTTATGACAAGGCTTAGCACAAAATCTGATTAGGAAAACTCTCAAGCTAAATTCAGAAATTTAGATGAAGCAGAGATTTCAGAAAGAAAATTAATTTAAAAAAAATAAAGGCGGCTAAATGTGTCGTTTTATTTATATTATATATCTGTAATAGCTTTCTATTGGTTAGTACTTTCCCCCAGCAACCATCTTTTAACACAAAACTCAACCCCCACCACTGCCCCCACCACCCCTTTGTATGTGAAGTCTCAATAACATTATTACTTTTCCTAACTCTGCGTTAAATATTCTTATTCCGGTACAGATGTCCGATTCACTGTACAGTTCTATTCGGATATGATCTGGTCCATGTCAACTTAACCCCATGACCGAAACATTTTCACCTGGTGCGCTATGTGCCAAAAAACTGTGGTCGTCAGCGCTCATGTGTGATGTATGAAAGAATGTTTACCTAGCTTTGTTTTTTTTTAAATTCTTTTTTTTTTTTTTTTGCTTCATTCTGAAGATAAAAACGACTACTGAAGTTCACTTTTAATCATAGAGGCTATTACCAATTTTCTTTTTTAATTACAACAACAAAACATAATGCGTGTTTAGGTATAACTGCAGTCATAATGTCTGGAGTGACAAGAGAAATGTTTATGTAAGTGTAAAAATGGTTTTAAAAATGGGTAACTCTTCGGTTAACTGGCGCACTTTGGGCTGACTAACCACTGGCGCCTTTTGCGCTGACTATCCACTGGCGCCTTTTGGGCGGACTATCCACTGGCACCTTTTGCGCTGACTATCCACTGGCGCCTTTTGCGCTGACTATCCACTGGCGCCTTTTGGGCTGACTATCCACTGGCACCTTTTGCGCTGACTATCCACTGGCGCCTTTTGGGCTGACTATCCACTGGCGCCTTTTGGGCTGAATATCCACTGGCACCTTTTGGGCTGACTATCCACTGGCACCTTTTGGGCTGACTATCCACTGGCGCCTTTTGGGGTGACTATCCACTGTCGCCTTTTGCGCTGACTATCCAGTGGCGCCTTTTCGGCTGACTATCCACTGGCGCCTTTTGGGCGGACTATCCACTGGCGCAATTAGGGCTGACTATCCACTGACGACTTTTGGGCCGACTATCCACTGGCGCAATTAGGGCTGACTATCCACTGACGACTTTTGGGCCGACTATCCACTGGCGCCATTAGGGCTGACTATCCACTGACGCCTATTGGGCTGACTATCCACTGGCGCCTTTTGGGCTGACTATCCACTGGCGCCTTTTGGGCTGAATATCCACTGGCACCTTTTGGGCTGAGTATCCACTGGCACCTTTTGGGCTGACTATCCACTGGCACCTTTTGGGCTGACTATCCACTGGCGCCTTTTGGGCTGACTATCCACTGTCGCCTTTTGCGCTGACTATCCAGTGGCGCCTTTTCGGCTGACTATCCACTGGCGCAATTTGGGCTGACCATCCACTGGAGCAAATAGGGCTGACCGGTGATATATAATTACCCATTGTTTGCTTCTGTAACGTTAGTATTCCTGTACACCACCATTGAGCAGTCATTCTTATACATTGTATATCCATTTTTTCATTGTATATACAGCTATTACATTGTATATCCATTTGTTACATTGTATACCCAAATTGTTACATTGTATATCCAGTTAGTTACATTGTGTATTTAGTTTATTACTTTGTATATACAATTTGTTACATTGTATATCCCGTTTGTTACATTATTTATCCAGATTATTTCATTGTATATCCCTTTGTTTGCCTTTTTTATGATAGCTTTCTGAACGTGTTTACAGCCTTACGGATCTTAAAAGTATTTGACGTTGTGTCCTGGTAAAACCGAAGATGATAGGTCATTGAATTATAATAACATATTCATAATCTACTTACCAATGTATCGATCTTCCAATAGTACCATGCCAGGGGGTCGTGCACAGAGCAGACACCCCCCCACCCTCAGGCGGTTGGGGTTTGATATTCATTCCTGATTAAGTTAGTGTGGACGAAAGAGTGTCATCTTCTTGTAGTGGACAAATACACATCTTTTTTTTTCAGCATTGACCATAAAAATACTCTCGATAATGAGATGGTTCGATTCTGGGCTTCCAAATTCTTTCTG